TTCTATATACTCTTGTACCCCGGTGAGGACCTAGATTGCTTGGTCTCTATTCTGATGTCATGAGTTGGATGCATGAGTTGACTGTTTTGAGTGAGTGGTTGAGTCAAGTCTAGGTTGGCTGGTGAACAGAAGGGAGACTCTTCCTTTACTCGATTTTGCTGCACTCGAATGTCCTTTGTGGTGGTTGTCCAGGTTGCTATTGAGGTTGTTCATGTATTGATGTTTGAAAACCAGTACGATTCACGTGTTCTGTGCCTTTATGACTTGTCCCCAATGTTGGTTGATTGAAATTTGTAAGCTTACCGGGTGTCTGACTTGGTTTGCTTGGGGACAAGCAAACGGTTAAGTGTGGGGGAGTTTGATAGACCGTTATTTACACATGTTTTTACCCCCGTTCTTACACCGTTTGAGGTGTTGATTCTCGTGTTTTAGGCTGATTTCACGCTAGGTTGTGCTTGTTTGTGATATTTCAGGTCCTAGTACATGAATGGAGGCTTGGGAGCGAGTCTGGGGTCGATTGGACGAAGATCGGACGAATGACGAGGTTTCAAGGAAGCCGCACGGGCAGACCGGGGCATCACACGGCCGTGCAAGTGAGCAAGGTGGCCGTGTGATTTCCACCGAGAGCAAACACGGGCACAAGTAGCTTTCACGGCCGTGCAAGTGAGCAAGGTGGCCGTGTGATTTTTGCCGAGGCCAAACACGGGCAACTCATGAAATCCACACGGCCGTGCAACCCTGGCCGTGTGAGAAGCCTGAAGATCGAACTAATCCATACGCTGCGTTTTGACTCGCACGACCACTTGGGTGAGCCACACGGCCGTGTGGCCTGCCCGTGTGAGTCGGGAAATTCTGGTTTTTGAGCCAATTTCGAGCCAAGAGCGAGAGAATCGGATTTTCAGAGCAAAAACAGAGCCCTAGAGAGAGAAAGTATGAAGAACACATCCTAGAAGCTATCTTGGAGCTGGGTTTCATCGAATCGAGCTTGGAGATCGTCATAGGAGTGGAAATCATCATCCCGGAGCAGATTTTCCTCATCATTATGAGTATGACTACTCCGATTACTGTTTTCTCTTCTCTCTCTATGGAGTAGAACCCTTCTCTCACTTGGGTATGAAGAACCCTAGTTCCTTGTGTTAGGGATTTGATTGTAATGACTTGGGATGATTATACTGTTTGATTTTAATCGAATGATGCATGTTTATTGAATTGATTGAAGTCTGATCAGCTTTTCTCGATTTCTGCTGCAACCTGAGATAGATAGAATCTGATTAGGTTGTTAGAGCCTCTTCATTCGATAGTAGGAGATTGGCTATACAAGAGTTAGCCAGTTTACTGCTTTGTACTGGAATTCAATTCCAGTAGTGGAGTTCTGTGTTCATAGCCTCAGCTTTCTATCCCGGTGAAGACTAGTCGTCTGCCGGGTAGTTAGACTGAGAGAGCTTGGTCAGCTTAAGAGATTCCAAGCTACTGTCGGAACTTCCGCAGTCTAATCAACAGTGAATCAACCCAGGGGAATTACAATTGAACCTAACTAAGGGGCTAGGGGGACTCAATCCCGAGTGACTCTTTCCTGACTTTGAAAACCGAATTATTACTTGCTTTCTTACTGCTTTTGCTTTAAACGACAATCACTCGAATTAGTTTGCTAGATAATAAATAATCATGGAGTAAGCAGTAGATCTAGACCCCGGGTTGATAATTGAACTTGCCTGTTACTGCATTCCCGGACTGCGATTACACTTGGTCGCAGTTTGGTGTTGTGTTTTGGCGTGTCAGTACTCGACCTGTGCAAACGTCAAACTCATAAGAATTGGCTTTAGTTTGTGTGGGGTGTGTTAGTGAATGATATAAGATCCATAATTGAACCTCTCTCAAGAACTCAAGTTATTGCGATCAACGGGTTCTCGACGGAATTTCTAAAATCGCCCCCATACAACATTTCGTACCCCAAACTAGCATATGGATCAAGGTCTTGAATCTAAGTGCTGTAAAATAGTAATCACCGTGGTTACTAAGGGCTAATTGGGTATGGCAAAAAAATTAGTAATTACCTTTTTTAACAAATTACATTTTAGGAAATTAAAAAATATATTAAATACAATTTTAATACTCTCTTGCTCTCACTTCCATAATCTCCAACCATATCTCTCTTCCTTCTTTTTCTCAATCTTTTCCTTGTTTTCGTTCAGCCGAAATAATACAGCTACATCAATAAAACAATAACAATCCATTAAAAAACACTACCAATGCACAAAACACCAATACCATTCGAGAAAGAAAAACACTACCATTTCACCAAAAAAAAACAATACCAATGCGAAAACACTTCCACTACAGAAAAAGAACACTACCATTTCACAAAAAAACAATACGCTTACATGATAATCAATATCAATGCAGAAAAAACACTACCAATGTGAAAAAACACTATCACTACGAAAAAATCACTACCAATGCAAAAAAATCAGATATAACATTTTTATTCATCCCACCTTTTCCAACCACAGTCGTCTCCTAGATAGAGGGAGAGGGCAGCGAGAGAGAGGGCAACGAGAGAGAGGGCAGCGAGAGGGTGCCCGCAGCGGTGGGCGAGTATAGCCGGAGTGAAGGGTGGCCGCCGACAGTGAGAGGTTGACCGACTTTGGGAGGGTGGCCGCCAGCGGAGGAAGGGAACCTTTAACACAAGAGGTGTTGACGGCGATGGAGAATGGGGTTGGAATAGGGTTTAGGTATATAATATAGAAATTAATTTTTTAAAGGATAAAAATCAGGTGTGGTATTTTTTTATTCTCAAAATTACCCTTAATCTAGTCTTTATCGTCAAATTAAAATTAGGATGAAATAGAAATAATGAAGAGTGTAGATTTTAGTAGCCACCGTGATTACTCAATTTTGCCCTAACGCGTTCCAGTGCCAGTGACACATCTTTTAAGTTAACTACATATAATTAGCTACAAATTATATAGTTATGATTTATTATATACATGGCTGTAAAGTAAAGAGTGTACATATAATGAGATCATGTAGATGCTGGAAACATTAATCTATGGTTGTTAAGTTGGCAAGGTGCATGTATTGTTTACGTAATCAGTACCATAATCCTCACCGTTGATCCATATAGTCCATAAAGCGCCGCTTTTCTTTGACCCCAACAAAGAAATTAATAATAAGACAATGGATTAATTAAGTTAAACGTGTTAATCAGTAATCACATCTCTAACCACCCTTACATGTCACCTTCAAAAACTATGGATGGTAGTGTAGTTAATGGTGTTTTGGGGGCTTGGCTAATTTACAAATTACATTATGATTGATGATAGTGAGAAGTGAAAATTGCGACAGATTTCTGCTTTCTAAATTATTCTAACAAGTCCACACAAAAAATACAGAATCGTAATGTGAAGAAGAGTTCATTCTAGAGGAATCTAACCAAAAAGAAGCTGAAAGTTATAATAGATTAGAGCAATTCGACTATGGAGTGAACGATCTTTACTTAGACAGATATTTGAATTTGATTGGATTACCACTTCAATGGTCGAAGAAGGAAGGTGGCGCGGTCTAGGATAAATTTGCAGCTCATCGAATATGATGATTATGATCCCGATGATGATTATGGAAAACCTCAAGTTGGTCATACTAAGAGTGAGTTGGAGAAGTATCTTGCTCATCCTCGAGAATATGATGATGCTGAAGAAGAGTTTGATGTGTTGAAGTGGTGGAAGACGAATGCTATGAGGTATCCCATTTTGAGTGAGATGGCAAAGGATCTGTTTGCTATTCCTATGTCAACTGTTCCTTCCGAGTATGTTTTTAGCACAAGTGGGCGTGTTTTAGATGAATTTAGGAGCTCTTTGCATCCTAAGATTGTGGAAGCTCTCATATGCAGTCAAGATTGGCTTAGATCAAGTTCTAGTGAGTTTGTGGAGCATCTTGATGGTGATGATGATGACTATGAGGATCAAGAAGACTTCGTGAGTGGTAAGTAAATTACTTTGTAGTTTTTAGTTTTGGCCATGTAAATGCTATTGCTAACAATTATATTTTTTTGATCCATGTCATTTAGTTTACAATGCTATTATGGTGGATGAGGCAGAAAGGTGTGAGCATGTGAGTGGACACGAAGGTACAAGTACGAGCAATGTCGGAGGGAGTGATATGTTTGGTTCGAGGAGTGGAACGAATCAAGGAGGTGGATCTAATGCTTCATTTGTTTCTCTTGAACCTGATGAGTAGAAATGGTTTGGTGGGTTTGTTAGATTAGAGTGAATTTGGTGTTTGATATCTAAACTTTGGTGGTGAACTTGTGATGCACTTCATTTTTATTTTGAAGTTTGAATTGGACTTTGAGTTTGTAATAGACATCAATGATGGTTGTGATTTTGTATTGGACCATGTTTGGCTTGATTTTTGCTACAAACAGGTTGTCTATATTCCAGGAAAATGGGTATATGCTGCTGAATTTTCTGCAACATTGTCAAAATGGGTCAAAACCGGATTGGGACCGAACTGGGTCAAAATCGGACCGGGTCAAAACCGGACTGTACCCAATCTAAGCTTTGGTCCCTATATTTTCAAAAAGACCGGACTGGACCGGATCAATTCGGGCCAATTTAACCGGACCGGACCGTATAGCCATCCCTGGATGGTAGTGTGTAGTTAATGGTGTTTTGGGGGCTTGGCTAATTTACAAATTACATTATGATTGATGATAGTGAGAAGTGAAAATTGCGACAGATTTCTGCTTTCTAAATTATTCTAACAAGTCCACACAAAAAATACACAATCGTAATTTGAAGAAGATGTCATTTCAGAGGAATCTAACCGAAAAGAATCAGAAAGTTAAAATAGATGAGAGCAATTCGACTATGGTCTGAACGATCTTTACTTAGACGGATATTTGAATTTAATATCATTACCACTTCAATGGTCGAAGAAGGAAGGTGGCGCGGTCTAGGATAAATTTGCAGCTCATCGAATATGTGTTCATATTCTTCGTTACGATTGGTAACTAATCTTATATGAATATGTATAGGCTTTGTTACAGCAGAAAGCTAGGACTTTCCAGCGAAACTACCTGTGAACTCATCTTAAAACGCCTCTTTATACACAAGGGGAATATGGGCGCTTACATATACAGTCATTTTAGGCCATATACCTCAAGCCAAAATCAAGATTCCCAATCCTTGAAGAAACCCCATATAAAAGTTTGTGGTTCTGTACAGAGACCCAAACTTCCTGACACAGAAAACTTGTTCAGAAAACGCCGCCACGAAAAGGACCCTACTTCCATATACCTGCTGCCACATTGCAAGTCCCGCCTCCTTGACTAAGCAGGCAGTCCTTCATCAGTTTGAAACCCTGCAGTTCTTCCAATGCATCAGCCGTCGTCTTCGATGCAACCAGAACAGAAGACGAGGTATCAGGAGGATGTTCTGCTCGAATGCTGGACACGTGAGTCGAATCGACCGTGCTAGTGGAGAGTTCCTGGCGTAAAGGTGGAGCTTTCTTCAGCATGTGGACGAGGGCACCTACTGCGGCATCTTGTGATTTCTTGATGGGGAAGGTTCCTCCAGCTTGGGGATCCATCTGGTCTCCAATATGACTTCTTTTATCAAAAGATTCTGGCCTGGAAGAAAGAAAAGTAGGATGGATGAGAAGTTTATGTTTGAAGGAGAAAACAACGGCATAATGTTGTTCATAAAAAAATTTAGGGGAGGGTTTGGATGAAGAATTGGAAAATAATGGATTCTACAAGATGGCATTGACACCCCCTTTTTTGCTGTTCCGTTAAAACTCCTCTCTGGTCAGGGATTCTGTGCTCAAATATCCACGAGACCAAGTCCTAAATTCCATTGACGAACTAAGCGTATCTAGATACCAAAACTGGGTCCTAGGATTGTTCAACGACCACCTTAATGAATCCCAAGCAACAACCAGTACATACTCTTGTTACCTATCTTATTCAGAGTAACAAAGCTTCTAGCGAATGTCTGAGATTTGGTCACTTCTACGTATATATACTTGACGTGCAGAGATTTGAATGTTTAATTACATCTAATCATAATGCCTTCAACGACAACAGTTAAAAGTATTTCCAGTTGGATGTAAAGAAGGTGAGCTTGAACATGTACCTGCTTCCATGATACATCGGATCATCATCCTCCACATCAAAATGACAAGGAAAATCTGAATCATCAAAGTCATCAAGAAAAGATCTGCTGGAACTTCTAGAAATCGAAAACTGCGAAGAATTGACTGTAGATATCTTTGTCCCGTAATGCTTCTTAGAATCATCTTTCACAACTACACATAAACAAGAAAAGCAATCCCAAATCAATGCAAGTGCAAACCGAATCAAATCTTTTACATAAGCAAACAGAATACCTTTTCAACCGATACACCAGTGTTAGGCAAACCTGTACTCGTATCTAATTTAGAACCACGTGATGGTCTGCTGTTATCATTCATCGGAAGAGATGGATGTAGATTGAGCTTTGGTATGCAGACAGGTGCACTCTCGGTTCGTAACAGTGCTGCATTCGAAAGATGATTCCCATGCATGTAGACAGGTGGCGATGGGGAAGGCGATGGTGTAAAGTTAGGAGAAGGATAGTACTCATCATAACTGTAGTTGGTCTTGTGAACTGATGAACTGTCTGGATGCTGAGGAGGCAAGTTCACGGGTCCAAACCGAAGGGCATTTGCAGCTGGTGGTTCTGAATGAGTTGGTGAAGGAGAGAAATACGCAGGCGGTGAAGCCCTATACCGGTCATAACTCCAGCTATGCCTCCTGGAGAATGGCAGAGATGACGGAGAGGACACAGGAAGAGAAGTAAACCTCTTCAGCGGGTCAGCCAATGGACTTCCAACATAATCAGGGATGAACTGAGGAGACATAGGAGTGGACGACTCAGAACTAGCATCAGATACTGATGAATGATACAAAACCGAAAGGCAAAGCCTTCCAGAAGAAGTGTCCACAGGGGTGAAACTAAATCGCTGCATTTCAGATTCTTCTTTGCGTGTGAAGGGCTCAACGAAAGATAATAGCCTATGAGTGAGAGTAAAAGGCCGAAGCTTCCCGGAGCAATTGAGGTCCCGGAAGATCTTGTAAGCGGGTAGAAGCCTAACAGTAGCATACAAAGACCTCAAGAGTAGTATCGATTTCTTGTACAACGTATGCAGTACATTGCTCGACGTTCTGCGACTGGTTGAACCTTTTTCCCTTGGCTTTCTAGTGTCGTACTGAACTATCCACCTCTCTATAATCTTCTCCTCACTTCCAGAAAACACCTCCTCATGATCAGAACTGTAAGCATTACCACTCTCCTTTAATGACTGAGTTCTACTAAGCCCTCTCTTCACCAAGATCACATCAACCACCACTGGCTCGAAATTGCTCTGGCGCCAGAGATCGAGATTCTCGAGCGCAGCAGGGCACTCACCTAGAGCTAAGTTGAACCATTTGTCCCTCGGCCTCACACTCGACGACGAGGAAGACGACGACGAAGGAGACGATAGAGCTTGTTCCCCACTGAAGTTACGGGAAGACATAAAGGGAGACCTACACTCGAGTATTATGTGGAGACTCTTGGCAAAAAACTCGGTGATTATCTGCTCCGTCTTGGCAGATTCTGAATGAGTACTGTTCCCGTGAGATGATGCCATTATCTCAACAACAACTGGTAATCGAAACTACCTTCCCTTACAAAATCTACCTCCAAAGGAGAGTTCACTGCGAAAGCAACAAGGGATAACAACGACGTTCAAATTCCCAAAAACCCATTATTAGAAACTCAAAGGTGAACTCGATTCAGCTTACATAAGTAGCCAAATCCCAAAAACCTCGAACATCAGTATCTAAATAGCATCATCAAACTAAACAACAAAGAAACAAACAAAACGATCGAACAAACTCTATTCATCCCTCGTTCAGATACAAACAAACAAACCCACAAAGCTGGGACATGGGATTAAAGTAATCATCCACAGAAAACCATGAAAGGTGGGGAAAGGTAGCAGCTTTTTGAGTACTCACCGCAGCTTCGCCGGAATCCCAGAAGGAGGAGAAGAGAAAGGGGGGAATTGAGTCCATGGATGGGTCGTCGCGATTTTCCGCGATTATATTGGGATTTTTCTGGTGGAGAGAAATTTGGGGCGGAAGAAGATATGGGGAATTCGCCGCTGGAGCGGCCTTATCTACTTACTTACTTACTACTGCCATTATCATGTATACCGACTTGTTGCGGCTTTTTGGTTTTCTGCTGGCAGGCAATCGAAGCCAAGCCAGCGACTGATCCAGCTTCTTCCTCGTCAAGGAAACTTAGGTGGGCCCCGGTCTTGGTCTGATTGTCGGACCCACTTCCATAAATTGGTCTTTGGATCCGTCTTGGGCCGCCCGGCCCAATATGCTCTGTGTAGCTGAGCTTATAAATTGTTAAACCTTGCAAACTCTATTGGCTTGGTTTGGGCTAGCAAAATTGAGTGAGGAATGACAAATTGAAAATGTTTCCCGTATATGGTCATTGTGAATGTCTACTAGTTTATGGTTCTAGTCATTTAGATTGTTGTCACTTTCATAAAGGTTTCAAATTGTTGGAACCAGGGAGATATATACTTACCCAAACATATACATTTTTATCAACACAACAAATATTACTGGAACACAAACATGTTTCTCCACTATTTCTGTCCAAATGGCTACATACTTGTTACACATACAAATAATGTAGGGTAAATGAATGATATAATTCATACACATACTTATAGCTTTTCTAATCTAACAACTCGAGTTGTTGGAATGTATAGGTTCTCAACATAGTATCCAGGTTTTTGACGACCAAGGGTTTGGTCTAGTGGTAAAATCACTAGTCTTGAATCTGGAGGTCTGAGATACGAATACTTTAAGTAGTATCTAATCAAGCAAAAATAACATATATCACCCTTAATAGGGGGAAAATATTATATCCGAGCTTCTTACTAGAATGTTTCATGTTCGAAGACCCCACAACCTCCAATATGGCAATATTAGCAAATGTTTGAAGTAAAAGGTTACTTTGGTGGGCGGGCGTGTACAAACTTCACGTTCGTGAAAATAACTTTCCTCGCGATGAAGAGGGAATATAAAACAAGTAGGGTTAATTACACGTTGGTCACTGAGATTACAAAAAAAAAGTTCATGTTTGGTCACCCAAAATATGTCAATATATTGATGGTCATTTAGTTTAGCAAAACCATCCACGTTTGGTCACTCTCGGTTAGTCGCCATCCATCTATGTCAATGAAGTCCGGTAAGTGATGACGTGGCAGACAGAATCGTCTAATCAGCCTTATTTAACCCGAAAATAACGAGACCCGACCCGCCAAGACACCGAGACCCGCCAAATCATCTGGACCAACCCAACACTCTAACTAGACCAGACCAGACCCGAACTTTGAACCAACCCACACCACCCTAATTTCTAAACCAGATCAGATCTCCTGATCTCCACCTCCCCCTTCTTCATGCGTCTCCTTCTGCCTCCTTCCCTCCCTCTTTATCCCATTATCACATTCATAGGCGATGCAGGAGCTTCATCGAGAAATGGAGAATAGCAGAGGGAGCAGTACATGAGAACGAAGTCGATTCCAAAGAAGACAACAACCGCAATTTTCATGTTGCTCCTGTCAAGAACCAGTTGATCCCAATAACTCGAGTTGTTGGGAGAGGTTCAATTTTGGATCATATACCATAACACTAACACGCCCCCTCAAACGAAAGCCACTCACAAGGGCTGGAAGTTTGCACAGGTCTGAAGACAAGAATACCATGTGCTTAACAAATGGGGGTCACCGGGAATCGAACACAAGACCTCTCGGTCACAGAAGGCTCTGATACCATGTCAAGAACCAGTTGATCCCAATAACTCGAGTTGTTGGGAGAGGTTCAATTTTGGATCATATACCACAACACTAACAGCTCCACCTTCGTCGTCATCCTCCAATCCACCACCACCACTAGTCCGTTCCTCTTCCTCGCCGAGCCGGATCTGGTCCTGCCGAGTCAGGCCATATCTTATGCGCAACCATCGGACAGCAGAAGCTTGATCACTTGCAAGCTTGGCTGCAGTTCCCCGAAGAAACGCCTCCGGCAATAAGGGCGATAGCGCCTTATGTTAGATCCATCATTGTTGGAGCCGTAATACTCTACCCTACATGGGCTACAAATTCTTTTTTTTTCCTGTATATTTTACCCACACAATATTGTGCTTTTAGCCACATATATTTTCATAGCTGCACTTGTTTGGAAGTTGTGATTTCACATGATGTATTTAGCCAATACATGTAATTAGAAGAATTCATTGTTTTTTTGGCTTAAAATGAAACAGAATGCTTGTATTTGAACAGCAAATGGGCCCACCAGAATCACTCATTATGAATGATTGTCAATCTCAACTTTTAGTAGAGATTGTTGATGACTCGATATTTGCACATGTTTTCCCCTTTGTTTCTTGATTGTTTAAGCTTGCATTATCGCTTCTTTGGCCTATTTTACGCTAGGTTGTGTTTCTTTGTCACATTTCAGGTCCTAGCACATAAAGTGAAGCGTAGGCGCAAGTTTCAAGTCAATCGGAGATCAATTGGCGACTCGGGGGAAGAAACTCGGGTATGACTTGAAGAAGAATGGATTTCTACCTCAGTTTGTGACCATATAATCATGTAATCTTGTCATGAGACGAAAGAGGACGAGACTACGAGCGTCTGTGATCAAACGGCACCTAATTTGGAGTTCGAACGAGGGAGAAACGAAGAATCAAAGATAGGAGAAAATTGGTTTCGGGCTTCTCTGAGAAACAGAAGGGGGGCCTATCGTGACGCTAAAATCCCCGGTAGGGGATTTTTGGCCTTGATAGGGGATTTTCCCAAAAATCCCCTATCGTGAACCAAAAATCCCCGGTCGTGACCTAAAATACCCGACAGGGGATTTTGACCGGGGATCGCGAACGCAGGCTGTTAAAAGCCTGTTTTGTGCGTTTTTGCAAGGGAGAGCTGGGTTTTGGATCCCAAACACCCAAGGGACGAACCAAAGAGAGAGAGAGGGCGATTTGAGGGCATTCTTGGAGTGGAATTGGAGGATTTCTTCGCCTTGGAAGCTCGAGGAACTAGCCCGGACTTGAAGATTGATCATCTGAAGATTCTTACTGCAGTCTCTCTCTTCTCTATGGAGTAACTTCCCTTCACTTAGGTTTTGAGGAACCCTAGCTATGTTTGTTTGATTGGATGATTGTATGAGTACTCTGACTTGATAATCTTGAGTTCATATTCAATCTATGTATGTTTTCACGATTCAATTCTGCTTTAGTCGAGATTATTGATTCTGCTTTGATCCTATGAGAGCGAATACCTGATTAGGTCAACAGAGCACCATAGATTGATAGTAGTGGATCGATTGCTTTAGCCGAGGGTCGATTCACTGCTTTGTATCGATTTAGAACCTCATTCGATAGAGGGAATCTAGTTCAGAACGCCTTGATCGGTTGTTCTAGAGAAGGATACGTCCCTCTAGGCAATTGACTCAAGAGGGCCTTGATCCTTTAGTCGAGATTCAAGGTCTAGTCAAGGATTCTCCGCATTGTGAATGAAAGTGAAACAAGTTAGAAATCAATCAAATCATCAATCATTAATCTGACTAGTGGTTAGGGGGAATCATACCTAAGCGAGTTCCCAACCTGTAATTAGATTAACTTTAACTGTAGTTTGCTAGGGTAGTTTTAGTTCTTTCATCTTAATCTGGTTTGCTAGATAATGAACTGAAACTGAGTAATAGTAACTCTAGAGACCCGTGGATTCGATATTTATTACTTGAGCCACTATACTGCAGTCCCTTTCATTGGTTACACTTGGCCATTGTTAGGAGTTGTGTCATAGCGAGTCAATTGTTTTTGAGGGATTGTTGTCTTACTTTTTGTTCCTTATTCTTTGAGGGACCACCAAAATCATTCAATCTCCAAACAATGTATTTTTCAAATTCATACATTGAAACAATGCATCAAATTATAATACATACATTGATTAAATACATCAATTTAGAGAATCCTAACTTCCAAACATAGTTTTTCTTGTAATGCTTAAGACAACTTTTCATATTGAGGGTTGTAGAGATTTGAATAAGTGACGTCAAGGACAAGGATAAACCAGCTAGTCCCAATACTTTGAGTTATTGTGAGAGAATATAATTCATGGATTATATACCACTCTCTTATAAACTCCATCAAACCAAAGATAAACTTATGAGTTTTAAGGTTGCACATACTCACCATACCTTGTGCTTTGATAAACGGTTGATATTGAGAGTCGTGAAAATTCAAACTATTTCTGATATCATGTTATAAACCAACTTGATACAATAATTCAAATAGTTAAAGAGATTCGTGTATAAATCTTAACCAGTTACTTGGCTGGTGCAGTACAGTAGTAAGAGGCAGCAATAGAGCATTATATATACTAATCTCATGACATTTCTCAGGTTTGGCCTAATAAAGTGATTAACAATAATCATCATAATACATATGTTTTCTTTTATTCTCTCCCTTTTTGCCGATCCTCATAACTTGCACTTTATTGGCACTTTTCTGCCCTTCCAATCATATCAACTTCTTCTTCTTTGTTGAGGGACAAGACTGAATGGTGGGATTTCATTCCATCTTTTGTGTGTAGATGAAAGACATTTACAAGTGCTTTCTACCCATTACCCATTAGCTACTAATTTCTATCCTTATCTTCTCCAACCTCTTTTTTTTTTTTTTTGGTAGGTTTAAAGAGACTATTTTATCTTTTTCTTAAAGGGATATTTCACCAACTCAAAAAATATTTTTGATCTGGATTCTGGAGTAGTGCGTTTCTTTTCATTTATTTTTCCCTTCTCACAATTTTGGTTACGAAACCGGAAACAAAAAAAAAAAAAAAAAAACAATTTCTCACTTTTTCTCATTCCCTGGTATTTATTATATACTTAAATCAAGAGTCGAAATTAGTGTTTACTAGGGAATCAAACATATATAACATATTTTGACTATGTTTAGAAAAAAAAAACATGATATATTTTGGTTTGGTTTCGAGAACCCTAGTAGAGGTTTTCGAAACTGTACCAAGAAACTAGTTTGTCATTAGATTATGTCAAAGTAGACTAGGCTATTTGACATCCCGTTCGAAGTGACTTGGGAGTTGAGAGAGTTGGTTGATTTGAAATAGCCGGGTTTTACAAATGAACAAATGTAAAAGATATGGTGTTTGGAAG